CATTTAAACTATGAAAATTATGGGGTCAGTTTGACTTCATCTTTTTCAAAACTAAATTTTTTTTTTAAAAAAAAACGTCCTTCTGAAGCGGGCAACGGGATTTCAATTTCGATGACCGACAGCTTCTTACGGGCAAACCCCACATCAAAAATAGTGCCGACACAAACAAAGCAGTCGAAGGAAGTCGAAGCAGTCGAAGGACTAAGCAGACGCAATCAAAGGCAAAGCAATCGTTGGTGAACGAAGGCAGACAAAGTAGCGGAAGAACGAAGGATAAGGTCGAAGTGACTGCCTCCGAAGGTAACACTACGATCGAGGAAGACAGCCGTTTTTCCAAAAAGCTGTCTTCTCGGCTCCGCTATTGGATTTGTTGTGCCTGGATGAAGGGGGGCAGCAATCGGAGGAAAACCAAAGAGGCTTGTACTTGATACATGAAGAGGGGAGTGCGGCGACAAGGAGGCAGATACGACAGCCATGATCTTCAAAAAAGCTTTAAAGCCTGTCTTCCTTAACGATTTCGGGTAGGAGAGGAGCGGAAGGAGCAATGGGTGTCTCTGTAAACCGCGATCCCGAAGTTGCGTTCCCAGCTAGTTGTGATTGTATCGCGTGAGTTTGGCACGAAGGCTATATTTTGCAACAAAACAGATTGACACGGGCACAACAGGTCGAATTCGAACCAAAGAGAGGTTCTATCGAGACTGGCCGAGTCGAAGAGGAAAACGAAGTAGAACGAAGACGACCCAGGCGAGGAATTAATGAGACAACGAGCTGACGAGTGAGAATCAAGTGAAAGAAATAGTTCCTCCCTTCTCGCAAGAAGGCCGACGGGAAGAGAGTCTTTGACGGTTTCCTAACATCTACTGGCGGTTAGGGTAAAAATTTGGCTCTGATACCATGTTACAGTTTTGAGAAAAATAGGTTGAATACTGAATAGGTTCGATGCCTTTTCCCTTTGCTTTCATTCCATTAAATAATAATCTTACAATATATTTTAGGTACAAAATAAAATGCATAATCTATTTTAGGTAACTTAGTGATACATATTCCTAATTTAAATATTCAGCTAAAAGGGAAATAAATCATAATAATGACATTAGAAATAATTTAAATAAGGAAGTTTCTAATTATAAAAAACTCCTAATTGAGCTTCCTGATTTCTGTCCTTTATCATTGACATTTTGGAATCCTTGATCCGTTTTCATGATATCATGATTTTACGTGATCTGCTTTTTCTTTCTTTTTTTTTTTGGGATTTTTTACTTTATTTACTACAAAAATAACATTTAGTAAAACCTAAAATGTTAATATTATGGTTTTAGATGTTTGATAATAGGTGTTGCAACTTTTAACCCAAACAAATAGCTCATATTATTTTCTTTTCATTAAGGAGCTATTTTGTTGCAAGTATTATGAGTGGAAAGTAAACCAAATGTAAGTGTTTTTAAATTTCAGGTTAAGTGTTTAGCTTGAAGAGAAACAAATACTAAGTCATTTTTTAAGGGATTTGGAATTCACCAATTAGTTCATTTCTAGTGCATTTGAAAATTATCTAATTCTGGAAAATTCTAAATACATCGTGCAAATGACTTGAGATTCAACAATACAGGAAATTTCTTTATATGAACCTCCTCCCTATTTGCGACATTCTTCTCATGAAGTTTCTTCATCTGAATCTTCTTCCTTTGCGACATCCTCAAAATCTATTTCACATGTGAATCTTGTTTAGATTGCTCCTCTGCATGTGATGAAACCTCCAACTCTGCACGATACGCTGATCTCTGACCTGTCTCTGCAATTGAAACTCTTAATCCTGCCAATGACATTTTGCAAAAACTATGCTCTGTGCCATATGTAATGATGATGTAATGCTGAAAAAAATGATTCACTTTACACTCCTTACTTTACACTCCTTCAAAAATAAATAACAGAATTTATTTTGCAATTAACCAAACACTACGAAGCATTTCAAATTCATTGATTTTACTTGGGTATTGCATTTATATATTTACAACTAAATAAACTCCAAACTTTTTTTTTTGCAAATTTTTGTGAATATTCTTCTATTCATTAAAAGCACAATTTTTAGTATTATATTTTATATTTTAATATGCTATGTGACATTAATTCTTTATGTTATTTGTAGTACTTGGTTTTGACGCTTGCCAATGAATTGAATTATTTTATAATTCTTATTCTTTGACTAAATACCTTAAGCTTTCATTCTTTACTAATGACTATTAAGTACTTGTTCTTAAATACTGTGTAATTTAACTTTTCCTTTTTATTTTCATTTTTTTGAGCTTTTTTAATGCATTAATATTTTTGTGATGAAAAATGTGCCTAAGTGTACGTTACTTGAAAGCGCCGAGCTCGTCTATCTTTCACCATTCTTACCTCTCATCATTCACCTTTGACCTCATGAATTTTGATTCTTAGCATTTTCTTTTTTGTCATTTTTGAACTTATTATGTGAACGACATTTTCATTCAGCTGGGAACTATAGACAAAAGGATGCATCACTTTTGAGAGCTCATAAAAGCCCCATCTTTCTCAAAACACGTCTTCTATTTTTTTGGTTCATTAAAGGATAAGGAATCATAAGTTGTTTCATGTTTCAAAATTTTGATTTGTCCCGTGTTATTTCGTTCACTTGCTTCAAGGAATTTTATTGTGAACAAATACACCATAATCGCCGTTGAGAAATGGCATTGGTGATTGCTGTAATAACTTTCTGAACTAATTTACTTCTTTGGGATAGTAGGAAGTTAGCTTGAAAGCACATGCTCTGATATTTTCCCCTAATGGCACTTGGAAGATTCATACCGCTGATGAACTTTGAGTTTGAACGGTTAAATGTGCAAGTCCAGTGAAGGCTATAATGGTGAAACAGAGTTAATGGATTGCATTTTATTTCAAAAGTACTGCGAGTATTCTCAGATTTCTATTTAGTCTAGGACCTTATGCAGAGAGGCAACGCATTTTAATAAAATATTTATTTGATTGTGCATTTGAATCCCATCTAGAAAAAGTTGGTAGTTGAAATGGGTCGGTATTTGAACGCTTGTCATAAAACTTGGCCAAGAATCATAGTGATGAAAAATCTCTTTGGGCTTAATGGGAAAGCTTTTCTAAATGTAAATGTGCCATTGAGTTAGTCAAATAAACTTTCATTCTATAAATATTGAAAACATGGTCTCCAAATGCAATGGTTGAGGCAATTTACAAATGTGGGTGGAAGTTTTCATCTTAAGATAATGAGCCAATAAGCAATCGGGAGCCACAGTGTATGTGTGTGTGTGTGTGTGTGTGTGTGTGTTGTAGTAACTGAAGGAGATTTTGTTGGGCCAAAGTTTCCTACTCGTTTTTTGTTTTTGTTTTTTTTATTGGTTGCGGTCTGTTTCCATGGGTTTGCTCTTGCACTACTTAAGCTGACTGATTATAAATCTTTAAAGGGAGATTCATGCTGCAGGCTGCTGTTTGGAACATAGATGAGAAGAGAAGTAATTATAATATAAATTTTTTCATGATCATGAACATGCATTATTATCACTTGCGCTGAAATCCTGAAAGTGTTTGGTGCTCCTTGGATCTGATAGAACAATGATGAGTATTCAAATGTTGAGTTTTTCTTTATCTACTGTTGTCCGCATTTAAAAACTCCGCTTCTTCAATTGATGAGATCGAGCTTGTGAATTCGACCTTTATTATTGCAGAGTGTTTGCTGTGGTGGTTAAGTTTCAACTTCATCTTGCTTTTCCAAGCAGCCTTCGACAAATTTCACTTTTTTTTTTTATGTGAGATGAGGGCACGACTATTGGAATGTTTTAACATTGCTCCATTATTAGGGGGCATTCACATACATACCGCCCAATTCATATGTATTTACATATCTTACACTTAAACTTATCACATTTATACCACCCGTCTTTTCATATCACATAAAGAATACCATTATTTTGATTTTAAAAAGTGAAGTGCACCTTTTTATGAGTAGGTAAGACTAAAATTTAATTGTGTTGCATCCCTTTTCTCGGCCATTTATTGTAAATGGGGCGCCAATAGCTCCATCATAATTGCCACAAGTTTATTATGCTTCAGGCATGATGAGGTAAAGGTTGGATGAAAGTGGAGATAACAAGTTGGGTTTCAACGGGACATCCTAGCATACCCTTCGTGTTCTGTCTAAATCCAGTTAGTCCATGCTTTATTAATTTTTTTTAATGGCTTTATCTAGATCTACCCAAAATATTTATAACGGACTATAACTAGTTCATGGAATCCAGCTTAATTTTACCTTTTTTTTCCCTTAAATCTATTCATTTCCTATCTGTCTCATTACGAGACATCAATTAATACATAAGTTGCTTCATTTCTAACTCTGGCAGCAGACGTGAGAATAGGTCAAAGATTTCTAGAGATCTATATGTAATGATCACTCGTTTATAATATATGTAGAAAACTCCTCTATAAAAGGGGGAGATATTTATGTAACAAAGAATGTATAATTGATCCCTGTTCGTTTAACCTAATTCCCTCCTAGTAAACACAGAAATTTCCTCTTCATCTTGTTCTTTCCTTCTTTGCTAGCCATTTCTTAGAGATGTTACTCCGTGGATAGATTAGTATTCTACATGTACAACCTTTTAAAATAGAGAATAAGACAATAAGTGATGCAGAGGACTGTGTATTGATATTTGTCAAGTAAAATCCTTCATTTTATTCCGGTATATAAAGTTATGCACAGCCTTTTAAAATGAGATCAAGTGTTGTAAAGAATTGTCTACATGTCCTTCCTGCACACTTTTGCAGGTATACTCACAGACAGCTTCCATCAGGCAGCGATCAAATTTAGTAATTATTAGTTTTCTTTAGTGTAAATACATTAAAAAAGCAAACTATCCTTTAACCGTTTTTCTTAGCTTTGATTTGATTTATTATTATTATTTTATTTTTTAACTCTGTACAGTGACTTGGAAGTCGATTACAAATCACAGGACCATGCAGCGATTGTGTATGCAGCATTAGATGTGGATAAAGAGGTAAAGACTTGGAACTTATTATTTGTTTTTTTTTTTTTTTTGTGTAAGAAGTCTGACTCAACACTTTTTACTCAACCCCTTTGCTACGACTTTGAATGTCGTCCAGTTGCAACCAGACAAGGTTAAGAGGCAGATCTCTGTATCTGATGGTAAACTCAAAGTGTGAGTGTTTAATCTCTTATCTTTTTGAAATAATAAGATGTTTTGTTATTTATTTATTTATCCTAAAGTTTAATATTTGGGACAATTAAATTCATAGCACTGGAAACTCTGCTATCTACAAAACTAGAACCTAGATCTTTTTTTTTTTTTTCTTTAACCACCGAATTGGTGTATTTATGCGTGCCACGGTAGATATATCTAACACCTAGTTTACATGGCACTCAAAACTCTTCTATTACAAAACTAGTAGTCAGATCAGTTATTATTATTGGTGTATTCGCACGTGCTACAATCAAAACATTGTGAACTTGGTAAAAATTGAAAAATATGGGTTTGGATTTTATTGAGAATTTTGATATTTGAATGTGAAATTGAAAAATGGATAGAAGAGGGTGTAGTTTTTGTGAATGGCATAATTTTGAATGCTATGTAATTTGCCCCTTTATTTATATTTATGGATCAAAATGTGTATTTCACTTTTAAAAAGTTTTATAGGTGTTACATATGCAAAAATACTTAAAAGAAATGTGGTATGTTTGTAAATATTCAAATTGGTTTGACGGCTGATACCTGATTGTACGGTTGAAATTTACAGCTGCAACTGTAATGGATCTCTTCTTATGGCCATTTTTTACTTGGTTAAAATCTTATTTTTGTAATTCAGGCGATTTGAAGCAGTTGAGGCAAGATTTTTGCGTGCGACATTCAGCTCTTTTGTGGATCTCGTGATTCTTGCCACCAAAATCATTGAAGAGTATGGCCGGGTCAACACTATCAAATCATAGATTTTATTTTTATTAGTTCTACATTATACTTTTGTTTAGTAGAAACTGAACTGTGGTTGTTGAACCCAGGGAAAATCCCAATATTTAGAAACTAGATGTTCTAGTTCATCTTTGGGATATCTTTTGTAATCAGAGATAAAACTTAATTCACTTGATATTCTGATATCGCAGATACATTCTGGCTGGTAGGTGGATCACATGTTAAGAGCACATTAACCATCTATAACAAAAATGATGGAACTAAATATGTTAAGGCATCATTATTTTTGCCACCTTGACATTGATTCAGAATTATAAATGAATGACTAAATTTCAGCCTTCTAAAATAATGTGCTAATAGATAACAAGCCTAGTATTAGCAGCTGAATCTACGTTTCATTTATTTCCAATTTTATCGTATTGACCTAATTTGCTTGTATTTGATCACAACATTTCTACAATAATAATTGCTTCAAGGCATTTTTTTTGCCTTTGACCATCAACTATTGTTACAATTAATGGTGACAACATTCGTGGCATATTAATTGAAACTAAATGTTTTTTAAAGATAGAATAAAATAACCACCTTAAATTTGTTAAAATGTTCAAAAAGAAGAAAAAAATCAGGATTTGATTTTCATTGCACACCAAAAACAAACAATAATATGTAAAAATTTTAGTGAATTAAATATTTAGAAAATCAAATGAGGCCGCTCGAAAGAGGAAAATTTAATCAACCAAAATACTGATTAAAACATCAAAATTCTACTCCAAATCATAAAACGACAAGTTACATGATAACCACATTCTACTGCAGGCATAAAATATCGTATATATTTTTATTTAACTGAATCTCGATATAATTTATTCGCCATTAAAAAAAAAAAAGAGGATAATCTAATTTTATATCTTCCACATTCTATCAGCTCAAATCTCATTAATTCAGGAATGAAATGGAAGCATGAACCTACAGCATTCTTAAGCAGAGTGATTGCCATGACCCGCCCTGCTGAGCTCAAGCTTATAATTATAAAATAAAAATAAAAATAAAATAAATACTTTTTTTTTACCCTATTTACAGACACTTCTAGAGAGCGGCCCATCCCCTTTCCAAGCTTCCAGGAGTCAGAAGAAAATTAATACTCTTTCTGTAATCTGTTTTTCACCTGCATCGTATGGCACGAACAGAGATGAAAAGTGACGCATAAGCATGTTCTAATATTGAGAACAACTAGTAGTTGCATAAATACATACATCACAATTTTTATGTCCATATTTAACACCCAAATTTTGATATTTACACTTTTAACATCTTGGTGTTATTCATAAACCTATGTCATTTTTAAAATGATAATAGTGATGGCATCTTTGATGTCATGCAAAAGATTTGAGTGTTATGCATGTAAATATGAGAGTTAAGGTGTTAGATATAAAAATCCATAAAAATTGTGTGATAACGTATATAAATGACCTAAAAATCATGATTTCAGGATAATTGGGAGGGCGGGCGCTCACAGGCTACAAAACTGGGTGATCATTGCCAGCGCGCACATTGATGCTCCTCTTCACCGCCACCTTTGGCTTAAGAAAGATCAAATGAACCCTGTCCTTCATTTATGGCATACATGAGTTTCTTGTACATAATTTCCTGCAAAAGCCAACAAAAATTACAAAATGCGAAGATTGACCAAAAAGAAAAGAAAAAAGGATCAAGATTTGAATAAAAAACCTTTGTAGAATAAGGAGGAAGTTTCAGATAATTTGCACAAGTCATAACGCTTGGCAGGTCATCATCAGCTGTTTCAGATATTGCTGTTGCGTTTGATGCTAATGCTGTATTTGTTGCGTTTGAAGAATGCTACAACCGTGGGGAGAAAAAATAAATAAATAAATAACCTTAACTTAAAAATTTTATGATTAATCATGCAAAAAGGAAGGTCATGAATCTGCCACTTCTAGGGAGCAATATGACAAGAAGTTCCATATGAAACAAGGATTAGCAATTCTTATTAGGTAAAATGACATGCACACCGCATAATTCTTATGAGTGTAAATGTCAAAGTTTGGGTGTTTACATATGTCAATACATAAGAATTGTGTGTATGTTTGTAAATTTCCTTTCTTATTATAAAGTGTACCTGATCACTAAAATACTCATAATACATTCTTTTTGTTTATTTTATTTATAAATCCGTTTATATGTGTAAAATCAATAAAAACAGGTGAAAGTTCTAAGAGGGCAATAAGTTAGAAAAAAATTAATTTTATGGGAATTCATATGTACACATGAAAGGAGAAACTATCAAAAATAAGTGTAATCAATTAGTGAAAGTATGCTTTTAATTTCTTATAAATTTTATTTAGTTTTGTAAATTTTTGGTATGTTGTATTCGTTTATGTTAGAGAAATTTTACCAGTTTACCAGTCGAATTTATATGTTTCGTAACTGAATTGGCTTATAAATGCCATCTGAAAATAACATGACGTTGATATTCGAGATATAAAATTATCAGCGGATTTAATAATGCTAGGATGACTGTTAATATGATTTTGAGAATGGATTGGTTAGTCAATCACTTTACATTATTGAATATTATAGGAAAAGAGTTATGTTTTATTTGATTACTGATATTTTTTTAGCATTGAAATACCTTCCTCACTATGGTTAGCTTTGGATTGAGCGCAGCTAGGCCACCAGGTGGAAGTCTGGGAGCACCAGTAACAAACTGGCAGAAGGCATGCTGCTGCTGTGGCGTGAACTCTGCCATAATCTCGAGCAACTAAGGAATATATCAAAATAAAATGTGATGAAAATAATATTGTGGGAGGAAAAAAAAAAAAACTGACAAAGTTACAAATTACATACATTAGTAATTGCGGGGCTTTTAACAGTGTATCCGTGATCAAATTTAATATGATCAGCCATTGTCTCAGGCTGTAGGAAACAAAATCACAAATTCAATCAATTCCAAAGAGCTGAGTTCGAATGAATAAAATTGCAAGCAAATAAATTTTTAAAAAAGAGGATAATCAGAAAAAGAAATTACCTCCCACAATTCTCTACGGCCACAGATGAGGTGATCCAATTCATGAGGAGAGAATATTTGCAGAGTAGAAATGTCAAAGACCTGAGTGATTTTTTAAGAAATTTTAAGTTAGTATTTATTGCACAACTCAGGTGAAATCACCAAGCAATGTTGATGCTTTTGTTGCAATAACGAAGGATTTTGAGAGAACACAGATGTTTACCTGATGATATAAATATTTAAAATACTTAAATATAATTAAATTCAATATAAATAATATATCTCTCATTTAAATCTAATACTAATAAAATTAATATCAATAGCCGAGGCACTTCTTTAATCCCTTAAAATGGTCAAATTAGATTATTTAGTGAAGTATTAAATTAGCAATATACTAGCTCTACGGAACAAAGCTCACAGATGCGTTATTAGGTGATAAAAAATACTCTCAAATTAATGAGAATAAGAGAAAACTTCAATAAAACAGAAAACATTAATTTCCCACATCATTGCTATAGATTTATTGAGAAGAGTGGGGGTTAGATGACACAACAGTAATAAAAACAACAATATCATATTCCAAAGATAAACTAAATAGAAAGAGTAACCGTTAAGGAAATGCAAACTTCGTAGCTAATAATTATGTGAAAGCTTCATAATTAGAATGTAGTTTAGATAATAATGCACTATGAGAAACATATAAATATTATGGATGATTAATCAACTGAATTAAATCATATTGAGATGATTATCAAAGGAATTCAGGCTTAAGTGCCCCAAGTTAGAATAAAAGAAACTTCGAATCAATAAATTTGAGAAGAAATGGATGAATCATGGGAAAAATATCTAACCAGGGTAAAATCATATCACGTATACTATCCCAAATAGGTGACTAGTCACCTTGAAGATTTTAAATAAACTTTTAATTGCGACTCACCCATTGAAAGATGCTTAACCCATTAGCTGCAATAAACAAATTATGGATGACCCTTAAATTGATGGACTCATTCAATTAAATTCCTTAAGAAAGCACATAAAATTTCCACTTCGCCACCTTATGGACCACCTCTGATAACTCAATTTTTCACATCATTTGCTAGTTCAGGAGGTGGTAGTACCATAATCATCATTTAAACACCCTATTTTTTTATACATCCTTGTCTAAAGGTTATAATACTACCTTGCTTAATATCTCTCTCCAAGACTCAACTTCTGAATTTCAACAAAGTCACAAGTTAAACTAGTGTTGGGATCCATTAGCTTCTAGAAGTCTACCTTTTCCCAACACCCAATTATAGTGTCGATGAATATTTTTTGTTACTATGTCTAACAGCGCAAATTGGGTGGGTTTGATTCTCAAATTCAGGAACTCTTTTGTTGTATGTAGGACCGTCAAAACAAATTGGGTGGGGTTGACAATGAATTTTGTGATGATATCGTAGATAACACATCAAAGATGAAGACAACATGGACGATGAAAATGGAAATGATGAGATAAAGCAAATTAAAATGGAAAAGGGACAGACAACTTTGAAAGCATAAGGTAACTTACAAAAGTTACATAAAAGGGGAGACCAAGACAATGGTTAAAGAGAGTGACAAGGTCTAAATCTGATTGTGAAGGTGTTGGAAAGAATGACTGACATAGTGATAACAAGGAGAGAAACCAAACAAGAAAAATGGAAAGAGGGGGGGCAAGCGAATGCTAAAATAAGCCAAAGTTTAGATTGAATTGTAATGCAACACAAGTTTGGTCGAGCTCTGCGTAGCCAAATATCCAGAACCTATAGACAAAAGGAATTTGTTTCGAAGATCAAAACAACTAAAACGAATATTAACCGATTAAGAACCACACATCACTAATTTCACCGTCACTGATCACTCATTTATCCATTGCAGTTGAGTAACTTCACCTATCATAGCCTAAATTCATCAGCATAACCGAATTTCCGATAATCATCAACTAAAACCACCTCAATATCCAGTTAAAGTTTATTTGTCACTACTAAGTGTTAAACCTACCACTAAAAATTTATTTTTGAATAAATTTGTCCAAGTTACCTAAGATCTACCCCTTCACTTAATTCTCGAACATTAATTTTATGTACTCATCTAATTGGTTAATTTCTTCCCTTCATTTTATATTATCCAAACCTCTCATGATCTAACCTTATCTCCAATAGATATCAATCACACCATTACTCCAATTTAATCAATCATTATAATATCTAATTAAGTTTGCCACACATCCATCTTAATATTAAGGAAATTTACATACATATCACACAATGCTTATGTATTTATACAATTCTTGCATTTACATATTGAACAACTAAAGTTTGATATTTATATTTATAATATTTTGGTGTTAAAAACTATGCATGAAAATGTGTTTTTCACTTTAAAAGTTAGTAACAGTACTATTTTTTTTATGTAATGTAAAAAATTTGAGCGATGTGCATGTAAGGATGAAAGTCTAAGTGTACTATTATTAGTATTTCATCAACCATCCTCAACTTAAATATCAATGACTACTTTACTGATCTATTTTAGATTCCAAAAAGATCACCAAATTAATCGTGATCATATAGTTTTTTTAAAGTTTCCTTGATAGTTTATTATCCCGTAATATACTCATGTAGCAAGTCTCAATTTTCACCAAATAGCTATAATTCTAAAATTTATATCCTTATTGTTTAATATAATAGTTCCAAAACATAAGCATATCACATATAAATATTACTTTAACTTCTATTAACATGAATTAATAAAAGTTAATATCACACCTATTAACATTTCATATCACATGTTCAATCTTAGCACACTACTATTTCTATGTTCTCTAATCTTTTACCCATATTTTTTTTTCAATGTTCTAATATATAATCGATTAGAATGTAAATAACTACAAAAAACATAAACAAAGACACCTCACTTTGAATATCAAATATATGCAATTTGTTAACCAATGCAAAAGGAAATGAACTCAATGTTGAATTTTAATGTAATAAATTTTATAATTGAAATTTTGTCACCCTACAACTACTTATGCAAGTCAAATCTACATAATACATATATGTAATAACTTTAATAAATCGTTAACACACCTAACTTATTACAAACACAATCTGTTTTCATGATACTTGACTATACGAGTTCTCAATATCAATTACCAATCATATGAAGATTCTTTCTTTACTCAATACATTTTCTTAATTGTTTTAACATAAATTGCTTCCATAGTAAATCTTCCTAGCATAAAATTGTATTGATTCTCAAAAATTAAAATAACATTTATAAGATTACATTCCATTTCTTTATCCTATAACTCCACTGTATGGCATCTTTAGCATAATATTGACCAATGTATTATATAATAATAATCTCAAAATAAATTATTCTACAGTAATTTGACATCATCTTAATATCAAAATTCCAATTAAAATAATTTTTAATTAAAACAATATTGCATAACTCTTAAAATTTCAAATATTTTATTAGTTTCATCTTCAATTGATTTTTTTTTTTGTTTTTGATATTAATTTTGCTTATATATATATAATTTTCAGCGTTTAACCTCTTATTCATTACCAAAGGGCCTATTCGGAATCATTTTTTATCATTTTCTTGCTTTGTTTTTATTTTTAAAAATATTATTGTTCAGTGTATTTTTTGCATGTTTTCATTTTTAGGAATAAATTAATTTATTTATAAAAACACTCAAAATAACTTTTTGATATTTTGAGTGTTTTTAAAAACAACAATCACCACCAAACAAATTTTATTTTAAATCAAAATATGAATAAAATAAAATAAAATAAAATAAAATAAAATAAAATAAAAATGATCCCAAAAGGCCCCTAAGACGTTCTATCTGTGAAGATCTAAAGGGGTCATTTGGATCACTTTCCTTTTTTTTTTAAATTGATATTGTTATTTTATTTTTTTATTCAAAACAAAATATGTTTGACATGTTGAAAATAAATCAACTCATTTTTAAAAAATACTCATATTTAAAACATATTGGTTTGTTTTTTTTAAAACAGAAGTATAATATATGAAAAATACACTATATAAATATATTTTAAAACAAAAGAAAAGTAAAAACAAAACTAAAAAAATAAACTGATCTCAAACAGGCTTTAAGGTTCCTAGTCAGTGCCTTATGGGTCTATTATTATGACTTCTAGGTGGGTTAGGTGTTGATGTTTATTCAATCCTATTACTGCAAGACTATATAGTGTGTTGATATTGTTAAACCTATTCAAGTGATAATGCAGTGCTTATTCAATGAACACATCGGTAGTTTCATCTGACATGTAGTAGATCTATGTTGCTTTTGTTGACTGTGGCGAGAATTGAATTTTTTTGGAACTTAAAAGTAAAATAATGAAAGAAAACCAACTACGAAATAAGATGATTATAAATATCAACATCCGAGTCATGTATTAGAATTTTTTCAATAAAATTTTAAATACAAATTTTAATTTCTGTTTGCCTATTAGAAATGTGATTACTTCAAGTACAATTAAAGTGTCTGCCCAAGCTCTAAAGAAGTTATCTCCTTGCACTGAAGTGAGGCTTGTGATTTATGTCACTTTGGGTGGTCACTTTTTATCAACTTAATTTTAAATAAAGTATTAGTAGTTTTACTATATTACTTGATTTTAATAAAATTTGAATTATATCAAAATTTAGCTATGTTAACAACTCAATTACTGGATGATTTTGTATAGATCTAATTTCACATTGATTTCTTCAGATTACTTGATCTATGCACTATTATTTTAGACTTTTATGGTATTTACTATTTTGCGCCTGAAGAAGGCAAGTTTTTATGTATTTTGGTTTTTTATCAGTAAATTCTAATTTCCTTTGTGCAACAAGATTAATTATATCATTCTAGTTGAAGAAACGAGGAGTTGAGTACAGTTTTAGGGCCCGTTTGGGGCAGCTTATAAGTGCGGGCGGCGTTTAAAAACGCCGCCGTCCTGTTTGATTCACACTTATTTACAGATTATCCAAAACGGTGTTTTTAATTTTGTAAAAGACGCGGACCGCAGGACGACCCTCGTGGTCCACGTTTTCGATCAAAATTTTGC